GACCTCCAAGACATCAGAGGTGGGATCAGGTGCCATGGAGGAGTGAGCACCCCCTTCCGACCGGTCACACCCGCCGTTTGCTCCTAGTCATGATCGGGAAATAACGGAAAAATCCGTCGTCAATTCAGTGTGTAAATAATGGACTAACATTAAGTATGAAAAAAGGTCAATTAGCATTTGACTTTAAGATAAATTGTATTTGCTGACAAGGTCATTGTATCGACCATAGAACTTACGAAACAAGAAGTCTCTGAGCCAATGCTCACTAATAATACCCCCGCTCTGATGTGAATACACAAGTTCAGTTATGGACAAACACAGTGATAATCAGGAAATTGACATCGGATTTGTAAAAACTGAATCCCAACATATGGCATGCCTAAACAAAGAAAAAATTTCAAGCATCTGCGATGAGTAGTTGCTGAGAAAACTACGACCAAAATTTATTATGTATGGTACGGACAGACGCACGGATAAACAGGAAGTTGACATCGGATTTGTTCCAAAAATGAATCCTATTATATGGCATGCCTAAACAAAGATTGTGCTAAAATTTCAAGCATCTGCAATGAGTAGTTGCTGAGAAAACTACGACCAAAATTTGTTATGTATGGTACGGACAGACGCACAGATAATCAGGAAGCTGACATCGGATCAGTACAAAAATGAATCCCACTATATGGCATGCCTAAACAAAGAGTGTGTTAAAATTTCAAGCACCTATGATGAGTAGTTGCTGAGAAAACTGCGACCAAAGTTTGTTATGTGTGATACGGACAGACGCACGGATAAACAGGAAGTTGACATCGGATTCGTACAAAAATGAATCCCACCATATGGCATGCCTAAACAAAGATTGTGCTAAAATTTCAAGCATCTGCGATGAGTAGTTGCTGAGAAAACTACGACCAAATTTTTTTATGTATGGTACGGACAAACGCACGGATAAACAGGAAGTTGACATCGAATTCATACCAAAATGAATCCCACCATATGGCATGCCTAAACGAAGAGTGTGTTAAAATTTCAAGCACCTCTGATGAGTAGTTGCTGAGAAAACTGCGACCAAAGTTTGTTACGGACAGACAGACAGACAGACGGACAGACAGACAGACAGACACACAAGGGTAAAACAGTATACCCCCCTCTCCTTCGGAGCGGGGGTATAATGATGACTTTAAAGGAGACTGCAGATATTCTTGTTTCATCAACTTGTTTGTCAATAACTTACCTCGTTTTAGAAATTGTTCATACGTAGAGCATGCTCTGGCGTATCGAATCAACTGAGAGATATAAACTCCGCATGCAGATGATAAGGGTATATTGCTGCATAGGTAAGGGAAGTTGACGATTGAAAAGTTAGAGCCATCACGTTTATCATAAAGCTTTGATGTTAGATTACCATTAACGTCTTTTTCTTATAAAATATCCAAATATGAAAAAGATGTGTCAAACTCTGTAGTATCTTTTATCTCAAGCTCAGCGGGATATATCGTGTCGACATAAGAATGGAAATAACCATTGTTAATTGACAAAACGTCGTCGATATATCTAAATGTCAAGTACTTTCTTTCCTCGTAAAAGATTTTGAACAAAGTCTGCCTCAAATGAATAGAAAAGTAGGTCTGCTAATGATGAGGCGCAATTAGTTCCCATGGGAATTCCAATAGATTGTTGGAAGATCTGGTCTCCAAAAACCACATAAAAATTGTCAATCAGAAACTAGAGCATCTTTTTAATGTCAACTTCAGAGTACTTGTGTGTACAATCAGAATGACAAAGTAAGTTTGCAAATGACCAATGACAAGGTAAGTATATTTACGAGTTCCATTTTCATTGAAAAAGCAGCTCTCAACGATGTCAGAAAGTCTGTACTGTAATTTATGGTGGGGAATAGTTGAATATAAAGTTGAAAAGTCGTTAGTTTTTTTTGTTGTTTATTTTGGCAAAATTTAATAGATATATTTGTAAATCTGTTCATACCTTTTAGCAGCATCATTCTCGTCCTTTGCATCAGTTAGCAGATCTAAGGTTTATTTGGCCTTTATCAAATTCTTTTGAGCCTCTAAATAATCACCTTAAAAATAGGAAATAAACCATTTATCTATGTTATAAAACATTATTCACTATAAAAATAAATAGTATAGCAGAAGTACTTAGAAATGGTATGCTTGGAGTGTGCTAACTTCAAATGTTTTAGGAAAGGGAGGTTCTTGATTGGTACTTATTGTGTATGGATGAGGTTTTCATATTCGCATCATTTTTTCCCCACCAAATGCTGTGATCCCTCATCGAATAAGTTAATTATATCCATGAGGGTTTCTCTGTTGGTAACTTTGGCTGTCGCTGTTTTAAGTATTGCTAGAATATTTGTCATTGAAGATGTATCGGAGTTGCTGAAGAAGGTATAACATGCTCATTCTTTGTTGATGACTGGATATTTTCAGATGTTATGTAAAGTGTTGATTCATGTTTTGTATTCCTTGAGCCATTGCAGAAGTAATTATGATGGAATTTCCCACACTTTTTTCAGTTTGTCTTTGAAGGACAGTCGTTAACTCGATATGATCCAAGACGGTTGAAGCGTAATCACTTCTGCTTCACTATTATTTTCTTAATCAATAAAGTTATAAATAATGATTCCATTTTGTAGAATTTTAAAATATACAATAATATAGTTTACATCAAATATTGGGGAATTAACCAGGTGGGATTTATTAAATTTTTGGGTTTTTTTTTTCACAATATACAATAATATAACTTAATATCCATATATTTAAAGAGACACTGTGACGGACAAACGGGAAAATTGAAAAAAGAGTAGTAAGGGGGACAGAGAACAGTCAGTCTACAGTCAGGATGACGTCATGGGTTTTTCCCAAAAAGGTCATATGAGGTCACAGTCAAGGGTGGAGTCTACAGTCAATGACGTCATTGGGTTACCTTAGTGCAAAAAGTGAGTCTACAGTCAATGACGTCATGGGTTAACTTAGTGCAAAGAATGAGTCTACAGTCAAGGAGTCTACAGTCAATGACGTCATGGGGTTTTCCAAACATGATAGAGGTGACTTTACAGTCAAGGTGTACTCTACAGTCACTGATGTTATCAATTGGTGAAATGATATTGCAGATCTTTACGAAATGACATAGCAACACTCAGGGAAAATGACATTGTAACTTTTAGAGAAATGACAATGCAGCTTTAAAACATTGTGGGGAATGACATAGTAACTTGTAGATCTTTACGAAATGACATAGCAACACTCAGGGAAAATGACATTGTAACTTTTAGAGAAATGACAATGCAACTTTAAAACATTTTGGGGAATGACATAGCAATTGGTAAGGAAATTACGATGCAACTTCTAAAGAAATTTGTACCCAGACAATTTTATGATTACACCGGTATAAAAAGTCCAAGTTTTCAGAAGCTTTTCATAGTCAAATTTCAGATGTAAAGGGAAAAAATCACCAAACACTTTATCATCTATAGGTATGTTTATTTTCACACAATATAGAAGTTTTTTTTTTAATCTATATAACAAAAGTGATGAAAAAATCTTTTTTGAAAGTATAAACTACGTAACATTCTTATAAAATCTGTCCTTGTGAAATTCATCATTACAGTTCTTTGTCTTAAAGAAGTTCATTTTTTACAAATTCATCACCACAACTTCTTTATGAACAATTATAAAGAAGAAAACTTCACATGTTTTCTGGCAGGTCCAGCTGAGCATTCAAATTTGTCCTCTAAATGGTTAATTATGATGGAGCTTTGCTGCATATCCTCAGCCATTCTCTTATGTAAATTCCTCAATATATTAAATTGTTCGTTCACATTTTCCTTCAATGGCTGGCGCATCTTTTTCTCCAGTGCGTTATATTTTTCAGGATGCTTTCTTCTTTATGAAAAAAAAAAATGAAATTATACATTTTTAATTAAGTTTAGTCATACATTAATCCAATGAAATATAAATACGAGTCTTTAACAGTGGGTATATAAAAACAGATGTTTCATAGAAAAAATACTCTTTACTGAAACTAGAGTTATCACTCTACACTCAAAGGTTGTAACTAAATAATACAAAGAAAAGACCTCACCTAAAGGAGGTGAGGATAGAATTCTCCACATTTTCAAACGATCCCTCGCCCGTTTCTTCATCAACAACAACAACTGGTGGCCAGTTTTCATCAGCTGGAGGGGAGTACTTGGGTGTTGAGGACGGCGGGACGACGGGGGTTGATGGTTCTAATGTAATGAATGTCTTGCTTTCATTTGATGCACTGAAAAATATTTGAGAAAACAAACATACACTTTTGTTGATCTTAAAACATCATTTGTAGCTTAATCATTTAGGAATAATCGATAATTTATATATATAATATATCTCCTAGCAAGACTAAGTCTAAGTGTGGTAAGAACGATAACTCTAATTGTAAAAGTTCGTACCTTTCAAAAGTATTTGCATCGACAGGTTTGATTGTGACCGTTCTTTGAGGAGAAGGGGGGGAATCTTCATTTTCAAGATCTTTTCCCATCTGTACCCATAGAGCCTCAAACTCTTCGAAAGAGTTGGCGGAGTTTGTAAGATCTCTGAAATAAAATAAAACAGAATGACTAAAAATGTAATGAGAGGTAAATGGACACATCTTAGTGATTGAAATGATCATAAATAACCATAGTTCAGTAACGACAATAGTGAAGTACACCAAATTTACAGGAATTGTACATAATTAGAAGCTGGCCCTCTTGCACTCGGGACTTTCGTGAAGTTATCTACTTTTGATAAAATTGAGAAAAATCTTATTTTCTGAAAATTTACATCGTAAAAGATTAATTTTAATTAATATCCTGATAGAGAGGAAGTATATGTAACTTTCTACCAGGAGATTTATTTGAAAAAATATAATTTCATCTAAAGATATCAGAATTAAATGCACTCTTCCCATAAATTTCAATGTTAAATCAAAAGGTGAGATGCTTCGAGTATAAATCAAAATTCTGAAAATTTCTATGGTGGATAATTTTCATTTGATAAGCCCTTCAAATTGATATCAGGTTCACCAAAAAAAAATCCTACTAACAATATTGGTCATTATACATCGGATATCTGAAGTTGGTCCACAACGATCTTTTTAAAAGTTAAAATTGAGAATTGTTATCAATTAACAACATTAGATTAAGATCTGATCTACTTACAGAAAGTTGAAAATTTCGTCTGCCATATTTTTCTCTCACTAGTACTGCTATCTTTCTTCTTTTTTTTTTTGGTGAAAGGTACCGTTAAAGATTACTCCTCCCATATTTATACCCATAGGGAGGAAGTAAGTAGACGGAAAAGTTATACAAGAGAAATGGTATATAGTCTTTTAGGGTGTTTGTCATGGTTACATTGCTATTTTTTTTTTAAGTTTGGATATGAGGAACAGTAATTAATTTGATGCATTAATTAGCTCATCATCTGTCGTACTTAATCTCTTCAAATGAAAGCGGGCAATTCTAAATCATTTTAAAAATTCCGCTTTTTCACGATACACCTGCGCACAAAGGTAGTGTAGCGTGTCCTGACATGACCTAGTATTCAATAAGTGTAAACGTCATGGCTTTTATCTGTGTGTGTCACGACCCTTTTAATATATCCATTTGAAGTTTTTAAAACGTCAATTGAATAATTAGCTGTTAATCATACATAGTTAGATGATAATTTACCTTTCATCATAATCTCTTTTAATGGAAGCGCGCAATTCTAAATAATTTTTAAAAATTCCGCTTTATCACGATACACCTGCGCAAAGGTAGTGTAGCGTGTCCTGACATGACCTAGTATCAGTACAAGCATTGTTACTTTTATTTCCGTATGTAGATACACAAGACTATATATATATATATTAAAAAAAAAAAAAAAAAAGAGAGAGAGAGAGAGAGAGAGAAATGAGATATTTAGTACGTTTTACTTTAGATTCAACTGACACAATACTGATGTGTTATCTTATCTTCTATATTCTTCTATATTTTTAAATTTAAAGAAAGAGAGGGAGAGAGAGAGAGAGAGAGAGAGTACTGCTGTTACACGGTCTAAATGTATGAGTGACATGCAATTTATGAAGTTTGAAATCATGTATTCCTCCTGCACTGATCGAGCCATCATATTAAATGTCAGTATAATTATCCCAACACACTAGAACTATTGTTTTTCATTCCCGCATTAGCCTTTACCCTATTAGTTTATCCCTTACAATCAGCTGACTGATGACGGGTGAAAAGTCCGTGCAAAATTCGCGCCACTCCAATGAACGGAAAGATGAAGACGTGTTTTGTGATGTGTTTAATTTTTGGCTGGTATACAATTGTTTGTGCGCAAATTAGATGTCATAGATGTCCAAACTACCTTGGAGTTGTAGATTGTACGCAAACGCGATGGAACTGTTATAGTATTTTTCTTGGTGCGCAATTTAAAATTCGCGAAATTCGAGTCTCCGAGTGCACAGTCAACATAAATCTAGTGGGGAACAGAAAGCTACCCTTTCCAGTCGTGCGAAATAGAGATGGAGATACTTGCCCCGATGTATTCAGTAAGTACATATGTAAATGAGAAGATTTGTGGGTATCAAAGTCAAGTCAAGTTGTCTAGTAAATTTTATGTAAAATCGGTACAATATACATATAACCTATATTGACCGCTTAGTTTATCATTTATACAAAAATTTTGTTGTTTGTCCTAATACGGAATGTTCTTGTGGTATTTGTGTTGGTATATAGTGACCGGTTCATTGAGATTACCGTGAGAAAAAAAATGTGATCACGTGATATTTTCATAAACCAATCACATCACTGTGTCTTTTACTATGGAATGTCGGTTCATTATTATGAATCCTGATGAGTTCCGAAAGACAAATCAACTTGGCAGAAAATATCTGAAACGTTCAGTCGATTGGTTGATTTCAGCCTTTTTTTGCATAAAAACTCCCTTTAATTCTGCATCCGGAATAGGGGGATTTCAGTTCTTAGCAAAATTTTCAGCCTTTTTAAGTGATAGGCGTAATACACCTCTGAATCTAAATGAGAAAAGTTGATACAATGTATGGTATTTGGATCCGCACCTTAGAAGTGCCAAATTAAGATCGGGTTCGTGTCCCAACGAGAGGTATTACGTCACAGTAAGTTGTGTATTAGGCCTAGCCTAGCTCTGTTTAAGATGGTCGTTTTTATACGCTTGACAAAGGCCAAGTGGTTGAAAATTTTAGCGCAATAGAGTGTGTTTTATATTTTAATGACATACTTCCCTTTGGAGGACTATTGATTGAATTGGTATTCCAAATAATTAATGTACCTTTTCAGCACCTATTAGAGAGTCTATGGAGACAAGTCCAAGTTGGAGTTCAACAGACTCTACCACAAAACCAGCGAGGGTCCTAAGCAACAAGACTTCCGGTGAGAAATGTGCCGAACTCGAAGTTAAATTTGAAATTTTCAGTAATCAAAGTAAAAACAGCAGTGTACCGCACATTAAAATAAAATTGAATTATTGATTACTAAATTAGTAGTCATCCTTCCCAATTGTTTAATGACTCCATCTTAATATTGTAGGTATGACACGAACAACAATATACCAAGTAAGAACAGAGACCACCACGGAAGCAACAGAGGCCACCACGAAAGCAACAGAGACCACCACGAAAGCAACAGAGACCACCACGAAAGCAACAGAGACCACCATGAAAGCAACATGGCTGGCGCTCAGCAAGACTCTTGGTAAGAAAATTTGTTATAAGTTAAACATCCTTCTAGTAGAAAAAAAAAGATAAAGCTCACTATGAAACTTTTGTTACTTTTGTAGATTGCTTCTAACCTCATTTACCCTTTGAAATTTTCTGTAAAATTAAAATTAAAGAGTAGCACTGTATATATTAGTTAATTATATTCTTTGAATTTTTTTTTTAATGAAAAATGGTAAAATTTAGTTGTTAATTACCAGTAATTTTTTGTTACATCAAAAAATTAAATGTAAAAGTTTTTACTCATGGATATCCACAACACCTGAATTGTTGCAACTAATTTTTGTGTACTGAAACTTTTATTGGTAGATGTTAGTGTAGATGGGACATCAATGACAGTGAATCCCAAACAGCAGACATCAATGACAGCGAATCCCAAACAGCAGACATCTATGACAGTGAATGCCAAACTGCAGAGTGACACAGAGGGGGAGGAAAAAGATGCATATTATGGTAAATTTGGTTTGTATATGAATATCATCATGTTGACATGTGTATTAAATTTTATGTTTCTACTGTTATTTAATGTTAAAAAAATGAGGAAAATATGTCCGAGGTGTAAAATGATTAGTAATAACAAACAAACAAGTGTTCTTGGTAAACATTTATTCAGAAAGAATCAAATTGTTAAGAAAAAAAATAGTTTGCCATCAAAGTATGAGCTGGCACATGTTGGACATTATTCTGAATCGGATGATGATTATGATGACATAGAATTTGATATTCATTATGTGTCTGATAACTGAAGAGCAGTAAACAAAATTCTTGGTAGTTCTCATGATCAGGTAAAAAAAAAATATATGTTTCCAAGGACCTCAGATTTTAATTTAATAAAAATGTGTACATATTTTTATAAGTTTTGCTATTCTCGAAAGATAATTGTTTTCTTTCATAAAGGATGTTCAATCTAATTAAAAAATTTTATTAGGATTCCTAGCTTGGGGAATCACAGCTACAGTCTTCTTGAAGCTGTCGATTATCATCATCATCAAGATAAGAATTCATTATACCACCAATCCTCAATCGCAAGATGAACCAATAGAATCCAACATCCCTAACCAAGTCCAATCACCACCTCAGCCAACTGCACCACCCCAGCCAACAACACCACCCCAGCCAACAACACCACCCCAGCCAAAGATTGTCACACCTGAAACAGCAAGTGGTGAAAATTTCCACACGCCTCAATCGTTGAAACCCCTAATTAGACCGTCTCCTGTTAGTGCCCACACAAGGTCTAAAATGCAAAAAAAAAAGTTAGTGTTTGAGTCAAAGGTTTAAGCTATTAGAGTTTGAGTCAAAGGTTTAGGCCATTAGAGTGAAAAGAAACCACATGAGATATGCATGATGACACTGTAGTAACAAGACATTGATGTCTTGAATTTATAGTTTGTATGATATGTATGTTTTTTCCCTTACTTTTCTGTGTTTCATTTGTGGACGAGAGGAAAAAATGATAATTTTTTTCCAAAATGTTAGAATTGTTTTTGTGATTTATGATACTGATTCTTTTTTCAAGAAAGGAAAAGGAACAATAGATAGAATTTTATACATTTGATTTTTTTTTATTAGTTTTATGATAAAAACTGAAATAACATTTTAATCTATGTATTAGAATTAACACGTCATGTTTTATTATGTGTAATTTTACACTGATTTTATACAACCTGTGCAAGGTTACGAGAGAGAGATTTTTGAAAATTATTCTATGTTTGGTTGATTGGAAGGTGGATTTTTTCTTTGCAGACAGGAAGGGAGATAATGTAAATTCCTACTTTAGAAATACAATTTAGAATAGTTGATTGCAGGTTGTGTGATTTGTATTCTCTTTTATGACTTATATTATGTATTTTGGAAAAAAAAAATCAGAATTTTCCATATACACACCCTTTTTTGTTTATGTGATGGAGTTTTTTGCACATGGGTAGTGCAATTTATTATTATTTTTGTCATGACTTATATTGTTAATTTTGAGAACATCACATTTATTATACTGATTCCTTTTTTTCTTGAGAAGAAAGGAACCAGAATTTTACACGAGTGAATTCCTCAGGAGTTTTAATATGTTTACTGTTAATTTTTTGTATCAAAATTAACACTTCACATTGCATAATGTGTAACTTTACACGGATTTTGTGTATAACTTGTGCTATTTTATGAGAGATGTTTTTTTGATTATACAGTTGATTTTTAGCATGCAGTTTACATGTTTGCAATTGAATATACCAATCATGTTGTTTATGAATTTAAATAAAAGTTTTTTTGAAGTTAAAAAAAGGTTTTGTTTTTTTCTTTAGATGAGTTGCGGTGTAACAATATAAAAAAAATATAATACATTATTGAATTTCAGGTTATATTTTGAAAAGTATATTTTAAAGAATTTCATAAACAGTCTGAAATTTTTAATTTAGAACATGTCAGACGGTAGTCTCCTCAAAGAAATCTTGGACTCCTTGGTGGATTCAGATGCCGTGCAGTTATTTGCAACAGCGAATGGTTTAGTTGGTGATGTCGAGGTCGAGAACCGATTAAGAGAACTCCAGCATGAAAAGGAACTTAAGTGGGAAAAGCACATAGACGACTTATGGCAGGAGGTTCTCTCTGATATGGAGTCTCCTCCTAAAAAAACGTGTCATTCTTGCAATGATGGCAATCAACCTTCTACAAGTAGACAGGTGGGGGGCGGTGGGGAAAGTTCTGATTCTAAGGACACATTAGCAAAACCTTACTATATCTGGAAGAGAGATACCAGGACCTTCAAGAAAAATCTGGCCCGCGACACCACGTTCAAGGTCAAATTCAATGAACAGTGGAGGGGGGATAAATTAATAGATATCCAAAACAAATTACACGAGATGTTCGACGACCTGTTGTCGCAGGCCAAGGGTCATGATGCGGATTTGGGAAGGGTGGTCCTGAGTCATCCGAGTTTAAACAATCCTATCGTCGTGCCGCTGCAGTCCTGGGAAAAATTGAATGCAGATGTCGTCATGTCTGAGATCACCAAGGTACTCAATTCGAACGAAAGCTTACCCGTAGATGAAAACCTGCTAGTCACCATCGGGTCCATTGACTTACCTAAAGGGGGAGGTAACCCTAGAAAATTACCCATTACAACTCTTTTCGGTCCTAAAAATAGTATAGAAAGGAAAAAATCACTTTTTCACGTTCAAAATAATGACAATTTATGTATGGCCATTTCCATCGGTCTGTGTTTTCTAAAAACGTGTAAGAAAGTAGATACGGTAACATGGAATAATTTAGTGAGGAATGATCCTGGAACGATGCTAGATCACGCCTTCAAACACCGCACTATTTCTCAAACATATTATGACAATATCTTGAAAACGTCGAGACAAAAAATGCAAACGGAGCTGGCCATGGGGCTATGTGAAAAAGCCGGTGTGCCCAATGACAGGTATTTAGGTCTGAATGATATCGAACCTTTTGAAAATTTACTTGATGTCTCGATCAACGTCGTGTCCTCTGCCGTTGGAAACAAATTTGTCAGGGTCACAGAGGATCAGGGTAAGCCTCGTCTCTATTTGTATCACGTGGATTCGGAACAGGAAAAACACTGGCATGGAATTGCTAGGATACAAGGATTTTTTAAGGCGTCGTATTTTTGCCATACTTGTTTAAAACCGTATAAAGATAAATCCAAACACTCTTGTGCCACCTCTTGTGAAGTATGTTTACATGACAACTGCCCAGAAACAGACGTCCAAATGGGTTGTCGTTGCTGTGGTCGGATCTGTCGGTCTTGGACGTGTTTTAAGAGACACAAACAACAAAGAATTGTCAAGAAAGAGAGTTATCCCCCCGCCTGTGACGTGTTTTACCAATGCAAAAATTGTAGAGTCACTCTGGAACGTGCTAAGCGCTCTCCCCATTTACATATTTGTCAAGAGTGGCAGTGCCCCAACTGTCGGGAATATCAAACGGGGGAACACAATTGTTATCAGAAATCGTATACGTGTGATATGGAAAAGAGAAACAAGAAATTTATTTTCTACGATTTTGAGACGCGTCAAGATGACATTTATCATTGCGACAAAGGATACAGACCGTCTTGCATCAGATGTCGCCATTGTGTTAAGGAGGAACGCCAGTGCTTAAACTGCAGACTCTGTCAAAACTGTCGAGATCCGTCCTGCGGTCTACAACAACATAAAGTAAACTTTGCCGTACTACAGACCACTTGTCACAAATGCGAAAAAATGGAACTAGTGGAGGGTGCTACCTGTCATCATTGTGGAAAACGATGTACAAAATGTTCCCGGACCCGAAAAGGAGAATATATGTTTCCCCCTTGTACCGACACTTGTGGAAAAAGGGAACTCGTGTTTTCTGGTGACAGCGCGGCCGAGCAGTTTTGTGCTTACATTACCAGTAAACACTGCAGGGACTCGATTTTAGTTGCACACAATGCCAAAAGTTTTGACCTGTATCCCGTTTTAGAAGTTCTTATCGACCGACACTCCATTCGACCAAGCAAGATCATATACAATGGTTCCAAAATCATGTACATGCACATTGCCCAAAAACTGAATTTAACTTTTGTGGATTCCCTCAATTTCCTTCCCATGAAACTAGCTAAAATACCAGAAGCTTTTGGTCTACAGGAACTCTGCAAAGGTTACTTTCCCCATTTATTTAATACCAAAGCCCATCAAAATTACGTGGGGCCATATCCAGAATTAAAATATTACGGATACGATGCCATGTCGACTGGGGAGCGGAAGAAGCTTGCAGAATGGCATGCAACGAAAGAGAACGAAAGCTTTAATTTTCGAGAAGAAATGTTGCAATATTGTCGCTCGGACGTTGACATACTGAGACGGGGCTGTCTGGAATTTCGAAATTTAATGATCAAGGTGACGACCGTCAAAGAACACATTCCACAAGCAGACGGAACCGTCAAGGAAAGTACCACGTTTGGAATCGACCCATTTGATTACGTCACCATTGCAAGCGTGTGCATGGGGATATTTAAATCTTTATTTTTGAAAGGAAAGTACAAGATAGAAATCACCAAAGACGGGGAATGTTCTTGGTATGACGTCCACACGCTTGAGGGAATAGAAGTGATCAACATCGAAGATTCGTGGACGTCATTAATTGACTTGAGGAAGGAGGAAAATATACAGATAGGAAGACGGCATTTCAAGAGTCCCATAGCAGTTGTAGCCTCTCAAGGTTATACAAAACGCGACAATTATAGCAAGATTTCCATTCAGTGGTTAGAATGGCTAATGGAAAAAAGTCGTCAACGGGGAAATCCTTTAAGCATTTCTCACGCTCTCAACGAGGGGTGAATATCATGTCCCGGGGACCAATTACAGATGCGACGGATTTGTACAGAGTCCCAACGGAAAAGGAACCATTTACGAATTTTATGGTAAGCCCTGGCAATATAGTTCTGTTTTTTATATCTAACAATTACCCCCTTTCCCCCTAAATTGGAGGGGGGGGGGGCGGCGGCGGCGTACCTGGACTTAACCACGAATACATAAATGTTTATTTTTTTTTGTATCTCAAAACTAGGTTGTGTGTTCCACGGCTGTCCCTCCTGTTTCCCAGAAGACCGAAATTACACCAAACATCCTTCCACCAATCAAACTATCAAAGAATTATACGATATGACAATAAACAGAGAAAAAGAACTTAAAAATCTGGGATACAGCTTGGTTACTATATGGGAGCATCAGTTTAAATATCAGTTGGATAAGAATGCGGTTTTGCAACAGTTTGTGTCGACCCTAGATCTCCAAGACCGACTCGACCCACGGGACAGTTTTTTTGGTGGTAGAACCAATGCCATTAAACTACATTACAAAGCAGGAGAAGACGAAACCATACAGTATTACGACTTTACCAGTCTTTATCCTTGGACCAACAAATACTGTCGCTACCCCGTTGGTCATCCTACCATTGTGACGGACAATTTCCAGGACTTGTCACAGTACTTTGGACTTGCCAAAATTAAAATTCTACCTCCTAGAAAACTTTATCATCCTGTACTTCCTTATAACTCGAATGGAAAATTAAAGTTTCCACTGTGTCGCACATGTGCGGACAGTGAAAATCAGAGTGAATGTACATGTACTGAAGAAGACAGAGCCATCACGGGCACGTGGTGTACTCCCGAAATTCAAACGGCAACGTCTAAAGGATACAAAATTTTAAATATTTATGAGGTCTATCATTTTACCGAATCGTCAAAATACGAAGTCGAGTCGTGTGAGGGGGGATTGTTTGCTAAATATGTAAATATGTTCTTAAAAATCAAACAGGAGGCTTCGGGATTTCCAGCCGAATGCGTTACGGAAGAAGCTAAATGGAAATACATCAGGGAATACAAAGAAAAAGAAGGCATACAATTAGACTATAACAAAATTAAAAAAAATCCCGGTTTGCGATGCTTAGCAAAACTCTGTTTAAATAGCTTTTGGGGTAAATTTGGTCAAAGGTTAGGCATGCAACAGTCTATGTTTATTCACGAAGCAGAAGCCGAAAAATTTTTTCAGATGCTTTCAGATCCAACAAAAGTACCACACAATTTTCACATTGTTTCAAGAGACATACTCCATTTAGAGTGGAGTAACAACCCTTTGTTTACTCAGTTCGATAACAAAACCAACATATTCTTAGCTTCTTTTACCACCATGTGGGCTCGACTCAAATTATACAGTGTTCTTGACAATTTAAACGAGAATGTTTTGTATTTTGATACAGACAGTGTCATTTTTAAGGCTAAAAAGTCGGACGACTTGAGTTATCTACCCATTGGTAATTACTTGGGAGAGTTGACTAACGAGATCGCCCCACAAGATGGTTACATTGTTGAATTTGTCTCGGGGGGTCCCAAGAATTATGCTTATCGTACGTTGTCGGGAAAAGAAGAATGTAAAGTTAGGGGATTTACACTGAACTGGGCCAACTCAAAACTGATCAATTTCGATGCCATCAAGTCCATCATCTGTACCTCACACGACCGACAAATCGAAATTGTCAACCCTTGTAAAATATCCAGAGACAGTAGAAAGAGGAAATTGCTAAACAGAGTAGAAACTAAAAATTATAAAATGGTGTACACCAAAAGGAGAATTCTTCCCAACTTAGACACGTTGCCCTTTGGATTTTAATTGTGAAAAAAAACAAAGTTTTTAATATTATCCTTTTATTGAAAGACAATTACAAATAAATGATCCACATTACACTTTTGTTCATTGTTATAACATTGTTAATAGGTAAGCCAGGGAATTTTTTTCTTTTTCCGTCGAACATTAATGATTCCAGGAGGTCTTCCGACTTTTTTCTTACTGACATAACCAGTGCCAGTTTGTAAAAGGTGGTTGTCATCCACTTGGTCGCTGCAATTCTGGCTTCTATCTTCGTGAATTTGCTTCGAGGTCTGGACGGTCTCGGATATAGCTTGAGTCGAGTGATCCTTGGCATGGTCCAATTTTTGAAGTAAATGTTCATATTTCAGTTTCGGCACAAGTATCATTTCCCTCGCCATTTTCTTTGGAAATGTTGCACAATAGGTGTTATTAAAAGCGATATTAAAGAAGTATGTTTGATTAATATCCGACGTTTCTCTCGGTTGCTGACTTCTCTGGATCCCAGAGATCGAATGTGTGATTCGTAAGGTTTCAGTTGGTTTATATACTTTTTAGGTAAAGGATAAGTCCCCGTATAAATGTTAAGTGCTATTTCACTAAGCACATCATACTGTTCACTGGTCAAGGCTTTAACGAGTACTTTTTGCTGTGCACTGTCAGCATACAAGAGAAATTTTAAAAAAGCCTCGTGTTTCTTCACCGTTTGCTTCATGTTTAAATAATGAGTAGACAAAATCATTCTTATTTATATAGGTTGGTAAATGATCATCTCCTCCCCCGGGAGGATACGAGACCTTAGTTGATACTCTCTGTTTTGTGTTGGTTCTAAACAAACATGCAAGTAACCGAAATTTGGTCGAGTTGCGGATTCGTATGCCGCTTTGAAAAAGGGGACCTGTCCTGGTAATATCTGAGATCCAAAGGTGATGACCTGTCTAGAATCACGGTAATTCTTAAACAAAATGACATTGAGGCAGTTCAATGAAATGGTCCTGGCATATTTTCCCGGAGGATATAGGTTCTGGGACAACATCACTGTGCTCACGTTTCTATGATGAGATGTCACCGTAAACAGATGTACACAGTCCTGAGATTGTGCAACTTGTAACATGAGATCATCCAGCACCAGTACCATGTGATCCATACCCTCGGTGTACTGTTCTATGTCTTCTTTAGAAGGCAATCCTTGGTGTAATGATAAGTTTGGTATCGTCTGCGTCATTTCCTCAAACATAGGTTGATGTTCAGAATAAGCATACACTATTCTATCCACAGGTATGGAAAACATACCATTAGCGTTTTGTAAAAGTTTTTTAGTAAAATGCGTTTTTCCGCTTTGTGTACTACCACATATTAAAATGGTGGTAGGTGCAGAAAAAGGTAGCAAGGAACGATTGTTCCACCATTTATTCATAGTCTCTGTTTCCATGTTTCTCAGTCGCCAGACTTTTTCAAAATGAAGTTAGGTGCAATGTCACACACACATATAAATATTTATTCAATTATATAATAACTCCCGTATATACTTTTCATGATTTTTAATGATACATAAAATATTCATGCATAAAACTTTTTACAAAACCGTCATTAGATTGAATGTCATTAGAAAATAAATCATACACATGATTGAACGAGTTTTTTAAACACAATCTTGCAATTAGAAATACTAATACATAAAGTCCACATAAATCGGAATTTCGAGGTTGAAGTCGAACGGATTTGAAACGACAATTTACACTGTTCGTTTTTACAAAATTTTGTATATCTTGACTGTAATCTGCTGGGGATCTTCCAAGGCTGTCGAAGAACTCTGCTTGCAATGGACTGTACACAATGATTGTCACCCAGTGTTCTCCGGGTAATGGTAAAGGTTGTGTATTGACGATAAAGGCGCTTGGAAATTCTGTAACTCTTTGAGGCAATGTATTACTAGCAAATACACCTTTTACGTAACGTCTTAAGCAAGGATCTGTCTTCACCATGTTTAACAGATGTGTTGAATTCATGGTTGAATGTAGTTAATGTCACGTGATTTATCAACCTCAAGTAGGGATGAAAAAGTTGCAAATACAATGACATTGGCAGCTTTGGTTGTTGCTTGTTTGAATTTCAATTCCAGTCTGGTGTTTCCCCTACGAATCAGGTTTAAGTACTCTTCTCCAAATCCACAAGGATCTATCGTAAACACAAAAAGTGAGTATCCATTTCCAAAATTATTACGAGAGATAATCAGTCCAGCATCATTGTTCCATTTCCCAGAAGCTTCAAATAAACGAGCATAGGCGGCTGAATAATGTCCTGCCGTAAAGTCCGTCTTCAGTGGTCTTCCAGGTACGCTTTCTCCGTTGACGTATATCCCGATATCTGTTAATCCCATATGCTCGAAATTAAAGGGGTTGGCTGTGTAATCCCCATTCACAGCTTTCTGGTCCACCAGAGCCACCACGATTCGATCGGGTACTGCCTGTGGAAATATATTGTCCCAGTAAAACTCGGTAGATCCTTTGGGTATGGTATTCATTTTTAGTTCATTTCTTGATATGGTATACTTTACAGGGGTGGATTCGATCTGTTTACTATGGTTCAGCAGAACACCTGGATCAACACGTACTTTGGCCACTTTATACACGACGTCTTGTAATTCTAACTTGTAGGCTGGTGTAGAAGCGGCAGACATGATGACAAAAGGGGCACTGGATCTAAAGAGTTTGATGTAGATGTCTACTCCGTTTATCAAGTATTTATCTATATCAAAGATATCTTCCATCAGGTTCCCTTCCAGCTCAAAGACTTTACTTTCCTGAGTGTAACCATACCGCAGGACCAGACCGGCATTGCCTCCATTGTATGCATTACCGTCGGCAAGATTTCCCTCGTCTTTAAAGAACAGCTCAGATTGTTTTTGTGAATTGAGTTCGTCTTTCCCGCTGAACAAAATTGTTTTGAGATAAGCCTTCCACGGGTAGTTATTGGTATTGAAAGAGACCAATTTGTTGTTCAAGTAGACATCCATTTGGGAGAACATGCTTTGTAGAGGTAAGTTCACTACACCAGTTTCTTCGTTTGCTGCCAGTGCCGATCCATCTGCTTTCAGAATTCGGGCTTTTACGTATAGTTTACTTCTTTTTAAATCAATGTATTCTGCTCCTGAGCCTGACACTACGATCTCAATGGGTGTGTCAGACACTCCTATGCTAGAAATTGGTCTTGCTTCTGTAAAATACACTTTCTCGACCGCTACTTGGTTTGTGGGGGATGCAAAAAGAGAGAGTTCCATTGGTTGTGCTATGTCTTTATTATCACTGCTTAAAAATGCCATTTTTACAGCTTGAAGATACTTCTGTAGCTGTCAATATTAAATTCTTTCTTTTTTCTAGACTGTGTTTTCTTGCTTGGCACTCGTCGCTGTTTCTTAACAGACGTCTTTTTCTTTTCTCCGGTGGTCTTTCTTTGTTTGGGTTTAGATGCCTGTTTTCTCCTCGGAGTTTGAGATGTTGTTGGCTTCAATTTCTTTGAAGGAATGACAGAAAATTCTGTACGTGGCCTTTTTATACTTCCCTGCACTTTGACAAATGGAGCTCCCTCTTTTACATCCTTGGCATGTTCCACTTTAGCTCTTTCCTCCACGGCAGCTACAGGGGTCACTTGAGTGCTGTTTTCTACTGATTCTAACTGTGAGTGAGGCCTCAGTGGAATGACATAAGACTTGTAACTTCTCACACCTCTCCCAATTTGTTTTGGTTTGTATTTGTAAGGGTTGAATTTTTTCTCTGCCATGTTCTTGTAGAAAGCTTCCCATATTTTGGGATCGCTGATGTAGGTCTGACTATTCATCATAAAACGTAAGGAAACTTTTTGAAATGAAGTGTTACAGTCACCGGTCCGTTTAAAAATGAAACTAAATTTCCTTCTCTGTCCGTTATATATATAGCAATCTGCTGTAATTGGCCAATTTTAACTGGAATGTAATAAGGTAGTGTGTAAGTGATATTTTCTGGTTTCTCTCCCAGGTATATGCGTCTTAGGAGGGGTGCCTCTTTCCCCCCAATAATTGTTTCCTCACAAATATCGCAACACACAAACAATTCTGATTTCTTCTTAGATGAAATCCAGCTCTCTGTAGAAAATTCTGTCAAGGCAACAGTCCAATATCCGTCAAATTGAATCTGTTTATTTAATTGAACTCGGAAGCAATGGGGTTTATTTTCAAAATATTCAGAGCTGTCCGTAGACGTCAATACCATTCGAACGCTCATCTTGAATAGAGAGAAATTGCAGAAAATGGTGGCTTTTATTGTTTTTCGAGAGAACTCTCTGGAATCCATGAATTAAATTTCTTGGGCCATCCTTCCCATTTAACATAAACTTCATTGGTTGTACCACGACGCCTTCTTTTAAGTATTTTCTCCACTCTATAAGAAACATCTTCTGACTTAACGACTTTTTGAAGCTCAGACTCGTAGAAAGTACCTTCTATAGGGTCATCTGCCAAATCTTTTACTTTGTACACAGGTACTTGACCTCTTTTGTATCTTTCACTCACTTTAAAAAACTCTTCTGTCCATTTCTGCTGGTAGTCTCTTTGGAAAGGGTGTTTTAGCTGTGATATTCTGACATTATCTCCAATTTTTAATTTGAAAAAGGGTTTTACTCTTTTTTGCACTTTTTTTTTGCTTGAGTTTTTAGGCTGGTTCAGGTCGTTTTTTGCCAGGTCTGGTTTTGTTTTCCCCGACAGATAAGCCGCTAGTCTTATTTCATCGGCATTCTCTTGCTTAACATTGGCTGGAGCATTCCCCCCTAATGATCTGTGAGGTCTATTGTTGTAACTTTTCACCAAGTCTTGCAAGACATTCACAAAGCGGTAAGTTCGGTTCTTCATAAAATAACGATACATTAGGTTCTTCATGGTACGAATAACCCTCTCGGCATAGTTTGCTTTTGTTTCATTTTGAGTGTACATGACGTTTATTCCCTCTTTCTTCAGAAATGTCTTTACCCAACGATTTTTAAATTCACTACCCTTATCTGTTCTAAGGGTCTTAGGTTTTCGTCCTCTTTGGAAAACTGATTTTAAACCGTCAACAATGTTTTGATGATGTTTATTTTTTAAGGGGATTATAAATAAATATCGGCTAAATATGTCAATAAGCACTAATAAGAATTTATAACCATCGTTATGGGATGCGATGTTTGAAACGTCTGCCAAGTCACCATCCCACATAGAATCGATCGTGTTCACTATCACCTTTGAACGCGGAAATGTTTTACGAATGGGTTTATACAGACTATAAGAATCTTCATTGTTTAAAAACTGTCTTATCCTTCGTCTACCAATCTTGTATTTGCCTTCCTTTTTAACAGCCTGATATAATTTTTCAGGCCCTGCATATGCCCCCGGTTTACCGGGAGTGTAGTAGAGCTCCCTCAAGTAATCCGTGTAGTCTGACATACTGGAACATACTAACGATCTCTCTTCGACAGTAACATTTTATATCATTGTAAAAAAAATACATCGCACGTTTTGAACTAGTTTATTTTGATATTGTTAGAATGAAATAATAACACAAAAATTCGATGCACAATAAATAATATATATATACATATGTTACATTCATATCATTAATTATTTTAGTGTTCATTGTCATTCAAGATCACTCTCGATGGTTTCCATGTCTGGTAAATCACCCGCGTTACATTCCATTGACATGTTGTCTTGTGGGTCGTAGCCAAAGGGGGTACATTCGGGACAGCTTAACATTCCAAGTTGATTTTGATGAGACTCACTGAGCATGCAAAGTTCAACGTCCTTTAGTTCTGGAACATATTCATGCATCTCCTCGATGACATCTCTAAGTCTGACAAATTTGTTTTTGTTCAGAGTAACACCTTTCCTTGTAGGTATAGGTTCTTGAACATTGTCTGGCTTCCAGAAGTGTCTTATGTCCACTGTCGGATAGCCTGGTGATAATGAAACGAACACACCTCCACCAACATGCCACTGTGCTTCTTCATCCTCTTTTCCAGTATTGTCTATGTAGTCTTGAATATCTGGTAAAAGAGATTCAAACTTTAACCAACGGGCTAAAGGAAAGGTAACTCCCTTCTTGGTGGCAATGAAACGACCATGTGATTCTACGAGGTGACGGATGTGAACGTAAATCTCCCCCTTGAAAGGCATGACGGTGAGGAATAGATCATTAAAGTCGTCCAAACTTATCCTACATCTTGGCTCCTGAGACTGTTGATGATCAGCTTTCTTTGATTCGTTTCTGGAACCTCCTCTTTCTTTAGTACTGACGACTAATGATCTTGCCATGGCCAGCTTCTTTTCGTACTCAGACTTTGTGTCATCATCCTTATTCATCAGGAGTCGGGATAAGTCAGCTTGATTGGCTTTCATCAATGCCGTTCTAAGGCCCATAAAAGCTCTCGAACCTCGACGTAAAATGATGCTGATCAATTTCCTGTTTTTGTCATAGCTGGTTTTCTCAGCGTCTATCTGTTGTCTCATTTCATCAGTAATTATGTTTGAGGCGTAAAGATGCCCCGCAACAGGAACAGCCATCATTTTCTTCACCAATGTTGAGTAGTTTGACTTAATCACGTCTTGATGTTTTTGCTCCATCTTTGTTGACGATAAGGACCTCACAAGGAACTATCTGAGATTTGCTCAAGACTGATGAAAATTTTCAAAATGTTACAAGTTTATATATGATTTAAGTCACGTGGTTCGTGACTGTAGACTCCCCCATGACGTCAGTGACTGTAGACTCCCCACATGACATCAGTGACTGTAGACTCCCCCATGACGTCAGTGACTGTAGACTCCCCCATGACGTCAATGACTGTAGACTCCCCTTAGAATGTGACTTTTCTCTAGACTGACTGTAGAAATTTGATGACTGTAAAACACGCTGGCTGTATATTTTGGCATTACAGATCTTTATGGGTGTCCAGGTTTTGTGCATGAGATTGAGTTATTATTTGTAAATGTTTCTCCAGTATAGGACTTAAAATTTTTGATGCATGATTTATTCTTCTTTTAAATCGATATCTGTCCATAGCCATGGTCATCCATTCTCCCTTCCGATCTTCATAGGGAATAAGGATGATCGTTTTTTTGTCTGAAAATTTCACAGTCTTGTCCATTGTCCCTCTTCTTTGACAATTCTACATTTTATTCCTGCAACTCTTTATATATGATTTTGTGCTTTTAAAATAGATCCATCCATATGATCTACAGATGCTTTTAAGTACTGCCACTGTGTTTTACTCAAGGTAATCCCTTCGTTCCCCGGTTTTCCAGACTGAAATCGTCGTATGTCATACTGTATGGTGTCATTGGCACATATCATGGCATATACTTCGTTGGAGAGTGGGTACCGATCCACGTATGAACATGTTTTAATTACATCTTTTTCCAATGTAGGGCGTAAAACACAGTCTACCTGAGTAGGTTTTTTCTTCTCGTGTAAAACACTGACAGCGATGCACAAAGAAATAATAAGTACAATCGCAAAAAAGCTAGGTATTACAATCGCGATTTTTTTCTTCAACTTCTCTTTTAACTTCCCTTTGCACTCATTACCACAATCACTTGTTAGAAGTTCCATCATTACCATTTGTCCAGCCATCTTTAAACAAAATGTTTTTGCTAGACTACTGCATTGCACATTTATATACATATGACCTCCGTGGGCGGGGTTTGGAAAACCCCCTGATGTCAACTTGAACTGTACAAATCAGATTCTCTTAAGATCTGTGGAAAGTATTTTTTCGGCATAACCCTACGTTTCAATATGTATTCTTCAGATCCCCAGCTGTCTGCAACGTCATAACCATTTTTCATTTTTTCCTTGAAATCAACAATGCAATCTTCCTTTCTGTCAAACCATTGACTTTCTTGTAAAGTCCATTTCTTTTCATTTCTTCTTAAAGCATTCCAGGCTAAAATTTTCCATTTGTACTGCTTTCCCTGAGTTGCCATCGTTATTACAAGGCAACTGAGATTTACAAGGTATTTATTCTTATTTTTTAAAAAGGTCAGTGACTGTAGACTCACTCTTTGCACTAAGGTAACCCATGACGTCATTGACTGTAGAATCCTTGACTGTAGACTCACTCTTTGCACTAAGGGAACCCATGACGTCATTGACTGTAGACTCACTTTTTGCACTAAGGTAACCCAATGACGTCATTGACTGTAGACTCCACCCTTGACTGTGACCTCATATGACCTTTTTGGGAAAAACCCATGACGTCATCCTGACTGTAGACTGACTGTTCTCTGTCCCCCTTACTACTAAAAAGTAGAATTTTTGCAAGACACATGCAAATTTTATTCAGTTCTTGAAAGGATTAGGTTTCAGAAAATTACACGTTTCAGAACCTAAAAAATCTACTTTTATGAAGAAAAATGTAAGTAAAAATAATTTTAGTTTGCCCCAACATGAAAATATTGCTTCACTTCTTCCTCTTAAAGGTACGCATGCGCAGAAAAGTTGAAGAAGTTACCATGGTGTCAATTCCATAGATATAAATGTCGGATGACCGAGGATTTCGATATAATCTTCAAAAAAGATTATCAGAACTTATTCCTCACTTTTTATTGCTCTAATTCAATGTTGTTTACAAGTAAAAGACGCATGACCTTGACATTGACGATAACAACCACGCCATAGATACAACTTTTCTTTTTCCGGCACTTATATTTTGCAGTCTTTTCTTGCTTTTACCATGCAGTTGAGATCTCAAACCTTCGCCTTATTCATATTTCTCATAAATCTTTAGCTTTATGATATAATTATCTTAAAAGAAACTCATGCTATTGACTCTCTATGTAACTTTAACATCAAATATTGGGGAAAAGATGGTTTTGATTTTACCAGGTGGAATTTATTGAATTTTTATTTTTTTTTTAACAATTATAATTTATCATTTACTTTAAACAGTAACAAATGTCATTTATATTGGCTTTAAATACCGGTATATGCAGCGGTATGTAATTTGAAAACAAGAAATAAAAAAAGCCTGTTATATCCTGGTAAAAATTAAAATTAAATTTTCTTGATTAATGTAAATAAAAGAATGTTTTTGTTTTATGTCACATAGTATTTCAAAGTATACATTAAAATTATTAAACAGGAAAGAGAAAATAATGGTAACATCTCTAGATTTCTAGCTGATACAGTCTTTTCAGTTATCATGATAGTTCCAATATTTTTTGTTAATAATAGGATAAATGTGGTTACCGAAATTTTTATTAATGATTTTATCCGAAATATAATTTTGTTTTACCTTTTTCACTTTATATAGGAAATATTTTAATGGACGTACAACAAAATGTGTTTACTTAAAAAATGTTAAATTTGAATTGCATTGGTGCAAGTGATTAAATAAACATTGTCTTTGCAGAGGTCTAAGGGACGGAAGATAACAGCGCTTTATGAAGGATCAGCAGATTTGACCAGCAAGTCGTATTTCATGAAACTGGGAAAGTGAGCGCCACTTCTCAAGCTGATAAAGTCATTGTGGTTTAAGATGAAACAGAGATCTTGGAACAAAACAGATAGCACAGTTCAGACTTCACCTGTCTCCACAGTTGGAAGAACAACACAGACATCTATGGTTAAGAGTCCTGTGATGATGGATGCTGCAGTGCAAGCCACAGTTTCATGAAAATGAATACCTCAAAATCCTGGTGAAAGTGAGACATTACATGAGAAGATTGAAGAAATCCTAGCCATTCTAAAGGGACAGCAGCAATGTGACCGATCAATCAATATTTGTCAGGTCTTCGGATTGGCAGTTAACAATGTTCCAAATGGAAGAACCATCCAGACCACAACATCCGTTACAATTATCCCACCTGAGGAACCACCATCAACCCCAGTTGTCCAAGAAACAGTTGCTATATCGATGAACATCCCAACCATTGTAAGTGGACTTTCACCAATCAATAACTCAGAGAGCTGCCAAGGAGAAAATTCAGATGAAGATACCAGCACTTAAGCCCCATCAGCTGTTCACATAGCTACCTTTGGTCATTCAGACAATATTGCCACAAAGGCTTCTTTTCTTCTGGTCTTCAACTCACCATGCGCTAAAGCCGGATCCTTTGAAACTAGGCCTTGAAAGATATGAATATGTGGTAGGCATTCTATAACACCATTTATCTTTCTAAAAACCACTGAAAGGTGCTATAAAATTCCTCTCTTAGCACACCAATCCATGGAATCCTCTCGGAAATTTCTTGGTAAAGATTTCTTGGCCCAATCAAGAACTAAAAATATATCAGATTCTGACATTGAATGGAAAGTGTTTTGTATGGCAACATCCTGATTTTTAGCTCTTAGTGTATGTATTTTCAAATTGGTGATTCTGTTTTCAGCTTGAAAATGCTAAACTTTGTCACTATCATTTCTGTTGGACAAATGCTGCTTTTACGGATGCAATAATTTCACAAATCTGTTGTCAGTATTCACATACTTCTTCATGGGAATGATCACAAACAGCTTGGACGTCCAATTTACACATTTATCACTGATAGCAAAATTTCTGCTGTGATCTGGGATTGTTGACATTTCTGCAAATTGTACCTTAAATGAGAACGAATAAAATTAAGATTCACTTTCCATAGTAAAACAAGTTACACATTACACACAGTAATAATACAAAAAAAAACTGACCATTCTTTCCAAAATGATACCCCAATATGTTTTATCACGTGCCCTTTTTGATCAAAAATTCAATAATCGCTTCTTAAAAGAGATTGAATACCTTCATCATCATGATTATCCACCTACATGTATCATGTACTTCTATGTGGTATGTTCACATAGTTAAAATTTATCAAGAAGTTGGATGAGTGACAGTAACAAAGTTAATTATCTCCACTTTCGATAACTCAATTGCACACCTTTATGTACCAATATATATTTTAGTAATTAACTTTTTTTATATTTGATCCAAATAAAACATTTGGAGCTGCTGTGATATGTGAGAGATTGTTTTTGTTGTTTGTAGTTTAACGTCCCTCTCGAGAATTTTTCACATATATGGTGACGCCATCATTTGCCAGTTGAGAGGTGCAAATCCTATACTCGGCACTCAAGGCCATTGAGCAATGATGGATCTTTTTCTTGCCAACACCTACTGCGACACGGGACCTCGGATTATGCGGTTACCTCCGAAGGACCGGTCTCCACGTCTAATAATGGGATTCGAACAAGCGACGTAAGGATTGACTCCTTACTCAGGGACTCTAGAGCAGACGCTCTAACCAATGCGCCACGCAGGCGACGTGACAGATATTTTACTCATTTTAAAACCCTACAAACATTGTTTGCGGAGGGTATAAAAGTGTCTTATGAGGTGATAATGCCAAGTAAGTTTATATGTATACCTTGTAACCTGTCTTAGCTAAATTTTTCACTCCAAATAGTAAATCCTTGTATCTCTTGGCAAAAAAAAGTTAAATCATCAAAATTGAAACCACAGTTACTTTAAAGGAAAAGAAAAAAGGCACAGTTGAAATCCTCCCTAACCTGTTCACTGCCCAAATGGTTAGATTCAAGGTATACTCTTAGCAAATTGAACACACCAGGTGAAACGTAAATATTAACA